CGGGCATTCAAATTGCATGGATATTGGCAATAGCTTTATTAATCTGCATGGATGTGGCAGTTATAGAGCTGAGTCAGCAAACCGGAGGGTGAATGAGATAACGCTTGCGGACTTGAGTAGCTCATGCTCATCAAGCAATTTGCTTTTATATATATAGTTTTAATTTTTATATACATCTATATCTATATGTATTCAGGAAGGGGTTTTTAGCAGAAATCCTCTCAATGACTTATAAACTTCTCATTCTTTTTTTTAGATTTTTGTATTTATTTTAATATATAAAATGTAATTGGTTATAACCCACCTTATCACCCATCAATATTCCCACTATCTCACTCCCACTATCCCACTATCTTAACTCATCCTACAATCACTCCTACAAATTCTTTTTTCCCACTATCCCACTATCTCACTCCCACCCTCTCTCAATTTCTTATTTGTTTTTTATTCTCTATTCATTTTGTAAATGTATTGATTTTGTTTCTTTTATAAGCAGTAGTGGAAGATATTATGTGCAGAGATTTCAGCAAAACTCAACCTTCTTGCGGATAATTGGAAGTATATTCTTACCAACTTAATTTTCCAGGTCGGTCCCCTCTGCTTTTTAAGTATGTTTTACTTTTGTTTTGCTTTTTGTCATGAATGATATTGCATTGATTTTCTGATCATCCATTATTTCGAAAAATTTTTTACAAAATTCTAAGAACGATTATTTGTTTATTGTTACACTGTAAAGCAAAGATAGTCAATAGTGGGATAAAGTATAAACACAAAATCACAATCACATTTCTAACATAAGGTATTGCTTGCTTATATAATTGCGGATGGTATATGTTCATGATTGAGGGTTTTACTATTTCTAATATAAATTGTATATTATAAAAATTTATTTGTTTGTATTAATGAAATTTTTTAATTATTTTTTATTGCACATTTATCACATAAAAAAGGTGTTACGATAGTTATTTTCATAATTTTATTTAAAAAATGATCGTGCATGAAATAAAAAATATTTTTGTTGATAATAAAAAATAATTAAAAATAGTTTATAATTAGAGAAAAACAATTCAGATACTACTAATAACTAAGGCACTATACGCCATTATTAAAATTGGATTAATTTTTAATTTCGTCAGAAATCGTTTTGGCAAAATTGCATTCTAACATTTCTTTTCTTTATCATTTTCTCTCTACATTGACTGCAATAATTTTCACTTCACTTTTAATGGGTGGCTTTCAAAATTGGTAGAAAGAGAGTTTATTAGCATTCAAATAACTGTTTTGTGTTGCATCTTTTTGAGATAATAAAGAAGGCATGAAACTTCTTGAAGAATAGTATCCTACTTTTTAGAGTTTGAATCACAATATTACCTTCATTTTTTGTATTTTTGTATTTTTGCATCCACTGGATTAGAAAAAAACGCGTCCTTCTAAGCTTGGATTATGTTCAGCAGTGATGCCAAAGACCTAACGATATCTATATGAAAAGAAAAACCCAAGGGACATAATTATATATCATACCAAATATCAGAAAACTAACTGCATAAAGGAAATAATTCTGACTCATATTTCGGCGCTCTACCTGACTCAAGACGGTGATTTTTAAAAAAAATTTGGTTTCTCTTGGTATTTGAAAAATTCTGAATTCTAACTGAACTTAAACCAAAAGAATAAATTAAAAATTATAGAGGCTGCCAAAATAAAAGACAATATTGAATTGGATATTAAAAGATGGTTTAAACATAGTAGGGACTACGAACCAAAATCTTTGAAAAAAAATTCTGTATCCAAAAAAAAAAAAAAAAACCTACAAGAACAAACTCATTTTCCCAAAAAAAAAAAAAAGAAGCCTATAAGAACATACGCCCTTTTTCAAATTTAATAATTTATCTACATTATGAACATATTATAAACTAATACATTCCTTTTTATTTAATATTAAAAATTGATTTTAAATATATAAATGATAGCAGAGAGAATGAAGCAGTTAGCGACATGTGAAAAAATCGAAAAGGACAAAAGCAATTAGAGGGATAATTTCGCACAAAATTCGTGGGTTAAAGTGCAATTTGAGGTATAGATGGGAGGCATTTTAGTGCATTTATTGGTTTGTTTTCAATAAGTAGTGGTTAGTTTTGCGGGGTTAGGGGGGTCTACATGTACCAAAATATATTTATATAGGGATTACTTCATTAACTATGGGTGCTAATAATAATTTTATTGGTGCGTAATTTTCATTTGATTACAATACAATTGTATTAAATTCTATTGATGCTACTTCTATATTAACTATTGTATTTTTTTGTTAACAATTCTCATACAATGTATCACTTACTACACATAAAATAAATACAAAAATTATTTATTTTTGATTTAATATATATATATTTTTTCTAGATCAAAAAAAACGAAAATATTGCCACTCTTCAAGTTCGACAGCCATCCGCATCACCAATACTTTTGCGTGATCATGGTAAATATGCAGTTTTTTATATCGTCAAAGAACGTGCATTTTCATTTGTAGTACACACTCCACAAAATTCAACATAATTAATTAAATCATCAATTTTGGCTTTCGTACTAAAAGTGGTTCAAGAAAAATTATCAAATCGAATGCTTAGTATTTGTAAGTATTTTACTTTAACAACATTCAATTACATTCATTTGTAGAAATATATCATTTCCTTTTTTAATATAAATTTTAATTTTTTTTTTCAGGATCCATTTTTTGAAAAAAGACAGTTCTTGAATGATATACACATTCTATTATATTTCAAACTATTATTAAACAGATATTACATTTAAATTTTATTGATTCAATTTTTTCACCTTTATTTGTTCACCATTTTATTTTTTTCAACAATGTTAGCACCGTGCGTAGCACGGGTATTCACACTAGTTGTCAATGTATACGCTATTATGGTTGGATGTATAACACGTGAATAAATTTTAAAATTTTAAATTCAAATTTTGCACATATGTCATATATTTAATGGTGATATTGTATATAAGATTAATTCATATATATATATATGTATGTATGTATTTATGTATTCATAGCCTATTTTCACTCTTTTTTGTTGGCTAGTTTAACTATAAGCACTAATAAGGGATCTATATCTATATAAATTTGAGAAGGGATTTTTAGCAACAGACCTCCACGCACCTTCCCACCCTCAATTATATTTTTCTAGCATTTTAAATTTAATTTATTTCATAAAATACAACATGTCCATATGTGAAACACGCCATCATGTTTCCATCAAATAAGAATTCCGCTCCAACTAACATTCCTCCCTTCACATACCTTCGTACTCCAATTAATACTCCTCTAATTAACAATTCCACTCCGATTAAAATTCCTCCAACCCAATAATAAAAGATAACAACATAATCGTGGACAACCATGTCAATCTCATTTTTGAAAATAGTGTATATCCATTACAATGACGTAGTCGACACTATTGTCAAGTGATTATTTTCACATATCTTTTAATTTTAATTATATTTTTTATTTTATATCACAATTTCTTCTTAACATACAAGTTAGAGATCCCGGTGGTAACCTATATCTCGCTCTTCAAGACAGGCATGCATGATTCATATTTTGTTATAATTCTTCTTATCTTAGAGATTTAAAAGGGAAGGTATAAATTATTTATACATATATATTTTTATACAATATTATTTACAAACTTTCTAAAACAAATGATAATTCTAAATTCCGTATGCTCTTAATTGTTAGGAAAATGGAGGTACCTTATTTGACCAACACATTATTCATGTAAAAATCGTGCATTCTCATTTATAGTACGAGATTCACAAAATTCAACAGAATTAATTAAACCCCCAATACTGGCATTCGTACTCAGAGTTGATTAGTGTGAAGAATGTTCCTACCTTCATGAAAGATTATCAAATCGAAGGCAAGATATTTGTAAGTATTTCATTTACTTATCAAATTAAATATTCAGTTACATTTAATTGGACACTTATGTTACTCAATTTATAATATAGATTTCTACCTCTTTTTTTTTTTTTTTTTTTTTTTTCAGGATCCAACTTCCATCAATGTGGTAGTTTAAAAATAATGAGAATGTTTTTATCATATATTGAACTATTGCTACAAAATCTCATTTTTTAACTATACTTTTGTGTACCCTAAATTATACGAACAATTACACACATTTATTACTCTTTTCAAATTCCTCCCTCGACTATAATTTTTTTCCAAAAAAATGATCTACTGTGCGTAGCATAGGTGTTTAGACTTTAGACTAGTTAGTTTAAATTGTAAGCATTAGGACAAGGACTTTGAGACTGAAGAAACACTTCTTTTAATTGATGATGTGTTGTAACTGAAGAAAAATGTATAATGTATTTTGATATACTAAAAAATTTGAAACCCGTTTGGATTGCTATTTTTTGAAATTTTTATAGAAAAATATATTATAATAATTTGATATATATGAAGTAAAAATAATAACATGCATTCATTGACTTCATATCAACCTGACCCGTGCATATGTCCGCATGACTTTATGTTCTTTTTTTTTCATTTTTATCTAATTTTCAAAAGTTATCTAAACAAAAGTTTCGGTTTGGTTCCCAAAGTAAATTCAAAATACCATCTCCAAATATTTTTTCAGTCAAAATTGGACTGCATTCCACTGGGATTCTACCACCAGTAAATCTAAAATGAAACAAAATAAAAAAAATCATGATTACTCATATAACCCCCAAAAACCATACATATTCCACGGAAGAGCATGTGATTATGTGAATGAACAATTGCAACCCAAAGTCCTACGAATGAACACTCACTGGTGCATTGCATGGAGTACTTGGTTCTAAATATTTACAGCTTATATCCACGCCATACTTTGTTGCGCTGCTGGTACTCCACGTCATCCAATCCATCCCTCTGACTTTTGCCCTTATTTTTCATTATCTTTAAACTGGTAATTAAAACACCAAAAACGTTACTCACGTCTTCTCACCTTGGATTCATCGTTTTATCCGTTTTTCCTCGTCACACTTGGCATCCTTCCCCGCACTCTTTCTCTTGCTTCGTTACACCAACTGGACCACTATACTTACTTGTCCCGTAAATCAATTCATCCCCAGTCTCTTGTTACAGAAACACACACTACACACAATAACAGACACACAAAAGAACCTGAATGGCTACATTGCGAGTTCCTGCATCTGTACCTCCTGCAGATGAGGACTGTGGGCAGCTTAGGAAAGCTTTTGCAGGTCCCTTTAATTTCTTTCTTTCATTGCTGATCAAATCTGTTACCTTTGATTATCTGTAATTCTTATGGTACTGTGTAGACGATCTGTTAATTTTAGATGTACTATGCGAGTTTTGGCAATGGCCATTTTAGTATGATGATTTCAAAGAATGTTTTTCTGGACTGGCTTCAATTTTGAAGTTTTGAACATGATCCTAGTAAGGTTTTTAAAGATCTAAGTTTTTTGGGACTTTTGATCATCTCTCGATATGATTAATGATCAGTGTGTTTTGCTTTCGGTAGTGATATAAGCGTGGTTTTATCCTATTCAATTTAAATAGTGTGATCTGTTGGATTACATGGTTCAAAGACTCGGCAAAGTCTGGGTTGACTCAACACCGGAACGGAACTCAACTCTCCGATAAGACACCCGGATATGCCGAGAATTCGGTCGAGACGGATAGAAACAGCCGAGTCGCCTGAGTCGTCCCCACAACTCGAATTTTTATTATTTTTGCTAATTTCGTAGTTAGCCAATGTCCTCCTAAATTGGAACCTTGTTGTTCCAATTTGTGCTGTTACTATCTTCTTTCTACTAGTTGTTTCTCTGTTGTTTGTGTGTAACAAAATGTACTACTATTACCTATTCTTGAAGTTCTTTAGGAAACTAATGCACTAACAGGCCATTTGCCCAACTTGAACGAAATTTTGATAGAAATGGAGATGATTGTAAATATCATACCTCTTGTTTTGTATATGACAAAAATCAGACATGAGGTGTTTGAATATATTACAGGATGGGGAACAAACGAGGCCCTAATTATCCAGATCCTGGCTCACCGAAATGCAGCACAGCGTAAGTTGATTCGGGAAGTATATGCTGCAACTTATGGAGACGATCTTCTGAAAGATTTGGATGCTGAACTTTCTAGTGACTTTCAGGTGACCTTCAGACTCTTATGCTTTGTTTGAAACTATGTGAAAACATGTGTCGTTCATTTCCCAACTCAGGGCTTTATGATTTATTATCTTGCTTGGTACTTCAGTTTTGTGTGTTTCTATTATCATCGTCTTTCCCCCTCTTTTTCCTTGTTTTCTTTGATTTGTTATCATCTAAAATAGTTTGAATTGCAAATGTTATGCCCTGGCTGATAAGACTGACATTGTAGGCTCTCCATTAGCATTTAAGGACACTTACGTGCATGTTCAAAACAGCGTGCAGTACTGCTATGGACACTTGATCCAGCTGAGCGTGATGCGCTCTTGGCTTATGAAGCTACAAAGAGGTTGACTGCTAGTAATTGGGTTATCATGGAAATCGCTTGTACCAGATCTTCACAAGATCTCTTCAAGGCGAGGCAGGCCTATCATGCTCGCTACAAGAGATCCATTGAGGAAGATGTTGCATATCATACAGCTGGGGACTTCCGTAAGGTATTACAGGACGCTTTCCATGTACTTCAGTTGTGTGATCATATGAATTTGATTCAACAACCTTTCCTAGTTGGTGAAACTACAAGTTTTTGAAGCATGGATCAAGCTTCTTACAATGTATAACACCATCCCGTGTAGTGATTATGATAATTTTGAATCCATTAGCTTTTCCAATGTATTTCTACTATAAATCATTTCACTCTATTGTCTCCAATGAATTATTTACTTGTGGTATATAATCTAGCACTATACAAAATGCATAGTAGTTCATTATACTTTCTGCAAAATGCACCATCCTTTTCTATTGTGCTGATGAATTAGAAACATTCTCTCATTTGCTTTGTATTAACTAACTTCAAAAACAGCTTTTGGTCCCCCTAGTGACTGCATTCAGATATGAAGGAGATGACGTCAACATGACTTTAGCAAAATCAGAAGCTAAGCTACTTCACGAGAAGATATCTGAAAAGGCTTACAATAATGACGAGATTATTAGGATTTTGACTACAAGGAGCAAGGCACAGCTCAATGCAACTCTCAACCAGTATAACAATGAGTTTGGGAATGCTATCAACAAGGTATGTTGTAGTTCACTACTTATGTTCCAAAAACAAGAGTGCAAGTTAGTCTGCAAACATGGAGTTTGCTGATGTGTCTGAATACTTTAGCTGAAATGTGCTATTAAAATATACAGTGGACCTGTTTTATGCAAATTATTGTATTGATGTCTATGCCTCTTTATTCATAGACTCAAAGTTAATTCTGCAAAGACGCATACCTTAGTGGAACTTTATTAATCTTCTGCGCAAATTTATGTCTTGATATCTATGCCTCTTTATCCATACAAGTCTGATAGTACTCATAGGACTCTATTCGACACTTATGGCATTTGCCATATATATTCAGTAATTGTCTTGTTCGTGCAGAATCTGAAAGATGATCCTAAAGATGAGTACCTCAAATTACTTAGAGCAACAATAAAGTGCCTGACGAGTCCCGAGAGATACTTCGAGAAGGTTCTTAGATTGGCTATCAACAGAGTGGGTACTGATGAATGGGCTCTCACTCGTGTTGTGACTACTCGAGCTGAGGTTGACTTGCAGCATGTCAAAGAAGAGTATCATAAAAGGAACAGTGTCCCCCTGGACCGTGCAATTGCTGGAGACACTTCTGGAGACTATGAGAAAATGCTTCTGGCTTTAACAGGGCATGGAGATCTTTGAGTAGCTCCTTGTTCTGGCACTTTAAGAGCTTTTTATGTACGAAATACAGTCATTAATGAGTTTTTAAAGTTCCATGACTTTGAAACATGAACTTCTGCTGGTTTGGTCAGTTAATGGCCGGAGAAACTGTGTGCTGTTATCTATGATTGGTTCAGAGTGTCCTTTAGAATTCTCTCTCTGGCTTGCACTTTATGGTTAAAAGTCAAGCAACATTTATTACGCATTACCTTAAAAAACTTGTTTGTAGGTAATAACCTCAATTAATTGACGGGATTGACAAGGCCAGTTAATATTTGAGCTAGAAATGATTCCTCCATACTGATCATTCATGAAAATGTAGCGATCATGCAGAAATTAGTACTGAGGTCTGCAATCAGGTTAAGGCCAACCAAATTGAAGCAAATGTACTACTGTATGTTATACTACCATGCTGTGTAGGCTTCATTTACTGATGCAGCAAATGGGAGGCAAAACAGGATGAGATTTTCCCCAGGACATTAGAGAAAGAGACCTTGAAACTCCTTCTCCTGCTTGAATCAACCATGATCAGCTTGATTTTCTCTTAGGTTGTTTCTCCATTTGAGAGCTCATTCGGCTCAATCTGCAAAATGGGCCTCAAAGGCTAGCATGATACACTCCGTCACTAGGATGATATACTTGTATTTCTCAAAACGCAAGTATGATATACTCGTTACTGGGGGAGTTTGAAGACACTGAACGAATGGGTTTTCTATGATTTTATTACCCAAACTTGACTGCTAAACCAGCTTGGGGATATATGGTCTGATTTCCGATTTGTGAATATTCTTAGACTAGCATAAATACAATTAATATACGCACTATTTGCACCGGCTTTCACGACACAAACAGAAGTGACAATCTTTTTTAAGCCCACTCAGATTGGCAATTGGCAAAGCTGGCATGTTGACAACCAAAAAAAATTCTCCGTTCTAGTGAGCAAATAGTGGCTAATCAGAGGAGGGAAATAAGTTCGAACCTAATGGTTTGGCTTGACCATGGTTCAACTTTGTGATAAAAGTTGAACGTTCTGCAAACGAAAGATCCTGAAAATTTTCTTATCTCATAATCCATACATTCAAAACCTATAAACTAGATAACTAATCACTCACGAACCACAGATGTTCCTCCACAAAGTACAGGACACAAATTGTGGAGGAACATAGAGAGAGCTATTGGTCCTAATTATTAAAACTTTCAGTTGCATGCAAATAGTTAGACCAAGGCAATGCTGCTCTCACCACCAGGGGGTTTGCGGACTCCACCCAAGAAGTCTCTAGCTTTAACCTTGCCATCAGCAAAAATATTGTTGCCACTCATTTCTTTCAGCTTGGCCGTGCTCAGATGCTTTTCAGCAGAGCCTGGAGGAACATCTCCTTTGAAAATGTCATTGCCAGTCAACTCTGCAAATTTCTGGTCATGTAGTTTCTTTGAAGTCTTGACAACTGGTTCTTCACCAAACAAGATGTTACTTTGACCGCCAGCAGGCTACAAAAGTTCAAACAAGACCATAAAAATTCCAGCATTTTGGACAACCAGTCCGAAAAGAATAGACTTTAGGTAATAGGTTGCAAAGAAACTGTCAAAAAATTTTCCCTAAATATAACAGATCCAAAAGCTGATATAGACATCATAATGACAATACAAATGCACTTCAAAATGCAAATGCAAAATGCTATCCTAAAACATTCAACACACACAGAGACAGAGAGAGAGAGAGTGAATCTGTGTGTGTGTGGCTGTTTGTTTGTACATGTGCATTATCAGCAGGCCATACGGGGTACAAGAATGAGAGATAAAGAGGAGAAAATGGAAGTTAATCTAACAGATGAGTCCCACGAGTTAACTTACATTAGAAACCTTGACTGATGTTCGTAGATTTCGCGGTGCAGGTTCTCCCATGTCCTTGATTTCTTTTGCTTCCATAGAGCGCACAGCAGCCAATGATCTGGGAGGAACTTCAGGAGGAGGGCCAAAGATATCATTACCGCTTAGTTCCTTGCTCTTCGCATCTGACAGCTGCTTCTTCATCTTACTATCAGCTTCGCTTTCCAGTGTTCCACTTAACTCCCGCTGCTTTGCAACCTCAGTAAGAGTTGTCGGCTTCTTTGGAGAAATCCTTTCTTCAGTACTAAAGGAGATCTGGCTGATTCCATTTGCAGCTTGCTAACAACAATCAAGAGCAATTGCATTCGCAGTCAAAAGACATGTTATGGGCATCATGGTTTATAGAAGAATATGGCTGTATGGGCTTCATTCAGCCAATGGAAGGGATTCAGGCATGCTGAGAATACAGAGTTACTACAATTACATCTACAGATACCTGAACCATACGCACAGATGTCCTATTATTAGAAGAGACATGACCATTTCCAGATTCTGATGCACCATCTTCAGTCTCTCCAGAAAATATTTTGCTTCCAGTAATCTCCTTCAACTTATATCCTGAGCATGGTTTCCTGAACACACGAACAAACCGCAGCAAATAAGAGCTCAAATGCTAAGAATCAAGGTTCCAAATTGCACTATGCAACGATGCTAAATCAATCATGAGAGTCTGGCACATTTTAACAATTTACTTTTGAATATACTACATTTTAGTATGCAAAAGATGAAAATGCTTGTAAAGAAACGGTCCAGATGATGTTTCCACAAGCCTAATGACATGCTCAAATTGTCTGTTCTAAACTGACTGCCATAAAATTAAACGAAATTTCACCTTTAGAAACTCAAGCTTTACAAACATCTTGACAGGAAGACTTTGACCTTTCATGTTTCTACATGGCAACAGAACCTAATCACATGCAGTTTTTAAGAGTTCGAGCGGCTCCTATAGCACCTTGGAAAGACTTATACACAAAAATGAAAAAAAGCAGGGATTATGGTGATTGGTTAGCATTAATATATAGTGACATCACATTGACCAGTAAAGGCAACTTATTACGTATGTCACTTGGATATACATCAGCAACAAAAGCCAAGACCTATGCTTATATTGACATGCAAAAATATTACCTTTGCAGAAACAATTACCTAAACATCTTATCTTGCTATTGTAAAGCATGATTCTTGACGGGTGTTAAAGAGTCTAGCCATACACACATATTCACGCAAGTAAAACACCAGCATCTCCCTGATTGCTACAATGCAACATTCAGATAGACATAGGATACTAGCAATCAAGAACATTCAGCCAGCTTAGCTTTTGGTCAAAACTTGGCATTCCAATTATAAGCATCATTTTTTAAATCGAAAAACCACAGATTCCAGAACCACTTGCCATTGACCTCTTGAATGGGAAATGTTATTTGCACTCTATTTTTTGTTATTTGCACCCCACCATTTGTTTTATCATATAGTCTAATAAATGAAAACTATATGATTAAAATGATACTGGAAGTGTGATTAACAAAAATGGGAGTGCAAATAACATTTTCCAAAATTGTACTCCAGTTGTTAATCAAATAATCGAAAAGCTGACAAAAGTTACCCCATACGTATAGCTGTATTTAAGCAAAATATCTTCCAAAGTACGAAGTGAGCTAAATTAATTCCAGATAAAGAAAAAGTCATAGGTTATATCAAAGTGAAAAAGTAAATTAGGTAGCAGGATTCAGAAAACATGTAAGTTCAACCAAATATGTAATCTTTTTCTTTTTATATTCTACTCATAAACCAATATTACCCAAAATATTTCCCAAAAAGGAAAGGCATCGGAGAAAAAAATAAATCTTTAAACTAGATGCATGATACAAATAATTTCACTGCTGAAACAGTAATTATCTACTAAATAAACATAAAAAATTAAGCATGGACTCACAGATCCATTATACTATCATCCAACTTCTAGTAAATTAATACAGGAAAAAATGCAAATAAGAAACAAAAAAGAAATAGGGGTCTAGATTCTTGACAATGCAAGTAAAGTTTCAAACTTGACAACTTAATTTGCATCTCAGTGCAACTTCTCCTGAATTAAACAAGCAAAAAAAAAAAAAAGAAAAAAGAAAAAAGATATGCATCTGATTACAATAACCTTCTATTGAGACTTTCAGCTTCCTCATCAGTGATCTGTCCTCCAAACAGCACCTTACCAATCCCATCTGCTGGCTACAATAATTTCAACCAGAAAAAAAAGAAAAAGAAAAAACATTAAAAAGAGTACAATACTAAATCTCCGGCTACAATGCAGTGCATTTTAAAGTTGCTAGTTAAACAAGAAAGTGTCCGGAAAATGAGGTGTACCTGCTGGGGACGAGTGGCAGAGCGGGAGACATTGGCGGAGGCCGAGGTGGAGGAGTCGGACGGAGGCGCCTCCGACCATGTCAGCAAGTCGGCCGTGGAAGTATGGGGCTTCCGGGCAGGCGTTACTCTCTCCATTTCTTTTTCTTTTTCTTTTAGTCCCTTTCGTCTCTCTCCTTCTTCTGTGCTTTTTTTTTTTTTTTTGAACTGAAAGTCTGAAAGGCTTAGTTGAAAATATCCGGAGAGCTGTTGTAGACTGTGGTCCGTGGACACTACAGAGAAAGAATATCTGAATCTATCATTATCACAGTCTTAAAATCTAACTTAACACGTGTACTACTTAGGTCTCACCATTTAAGATTCCTCATTTTCATTTTCATTTTCATTTTTTTCGTTTTATTTATGAATCAAATAATATTGGCAAAAAGTCATGGTTTGGGAAGTTCATTTTCTGCGAAGAGTTCACTTAAACTATGCGGCTTTAAAAATACTATAGGTATGTCTTTTATAGATACATGTAATCGATTCGTAATTACATTTTAATTTTAGGACAAAAAATTTCAGCAGCTATGAAACTATTACTAGCATTGACTTTTGACCATCAAATAAGTTTTCATCATAAATTAACTACTAAACTAACTAATCATCAGAGTTGTGGTCATAATTTGTAAAATTCATTAAAACTTCGAAGACAATTCAAATTCAAAATAAGCTTGAAATGCATGCCAAAAATTTCTAGTCAAAAGCTTAACCTAATATCTAATATACATGCCAATCCAAAGAATATAAAACAAAAAAAATCTCAATATAAAGGTAATGCTAGGTAAATAAATAGCCTGGCCAAGTAACCAGGCGCTCAGGCTGCTACCAGACTCAGCCACTCAGTTAGCACCCCACCACTCCTCCCATTGTTG